CAATAATGGAACCTAGAAAAAATGGGGTATACCGATGAATGTCCATTTTGTATCTGTGTATTCAAAGTGGTTGGGATGGATATATAGTTGCATTCTCTTAATGAATAGAATGATTTGTTCTAATGGTGTTTGTAAATGGGATCACAAGTCCGCGTCTTGTACAGCAATTAACCACTAAGAAGAATATATGCAGTGTATTATTTGTTGAAAAAAAAAAAAGTGGGACAGTAGTCAGCACAGTGGGGCAGGCAGGCAGGCTTAGGATAGGAAGGTATGAAAATATTGAGAATAAAACATTTGGCCTCAGTTTTCTTACTTGGTCAAATAAAAACCCATGAACAGGAACAAGGATCCTGTGTAACTCTTACATATGCTGTAACGTGTGTACAGAGAAAGACCACAGTCCCTCTTCAGAGAACGCCTTTCATTCCAATTTTCTTCCTTTCAGGTTTGTGAATCCAACTTCCTTCATGTACGGATCTAGTGAGGACGGCGAACCTGAAACATGTATGACCGAGAAGATGAATTTCACTTTCCATGTAAGAAAGGGTGATTGCGTGTGTTCTATCGGAACTGGGCGGATGTCACGGAGGCTCGGCTCCAGTCCTTCTGAAGCGGGCGGCTGTGCTGAGACTCAGACCTTTTCTTTTCACACTGCAGCTTTCCTGTTTCTTATTTTTAGAACTTTTATTAGTACATGTTTGCCTTACATAATGATTATATTCCTCATAGGGAATCGGTCCACATGCATAGCACACTTCGGTCTTTGTGCTTCCCTTTGCCCTCCCTACCCTTCCTAGTTCCTCTCTTTCTCTGTGTCCTTCCTAATTGCAGAAGAGCTGTTAGGCCTCGTCTCCTCACAGGACAGCTCACACTGAGGTTGTGCTTGCAGCACTGGGGTGAGCTGACCCCATAGGAGATACACATGGGATAACAGGCCCAGGGGGGACATCCGTGGATCTCTTCCGGGTTCAAGCCTTACAACAGCCCTCATATTACCGAGTAAAGAAGGCTCCTACCCTCTACTTCTCCACACGTTTATGGGCTATCACTAGCACTTTAGCAATTAGTGAAAAGCAAAGAATCCCATTATGCTGTGGAAATATTAATACATTGATGTACAATTTCTTTTACAAAACTGCTGCCAAACAAATTCTCGTTATGATACATGAGTACCTAATAACAGTGTCTATAAAAAGGTTTAGGATCTAAAGCACTGTGCAGACATTCTTATATACATAATCCATAGATTATGAGTCTTACAGTAAGTACAGTATATTGTTTTCCAAGGTGATGCTTTACAAAATTCGCATCAGAATCACCTGTGGTACATGCACAAAATGTAAATTTCTGGGCCCACCCCAGATCTATTGAAAATAATGACATTAAAATCCCATTGACTCTGTCTCCTTAGTTTTTGTTGTTAGTATACAATGCTGGACAATTTACTCTACCATGAAGTCCCAAGAAATATTTGTTAGGACCCCATAGAGGATTGTGCTGAAAGAGAAAAGATGGACTCTAGAAAGCCTATTAATTAACTTGCCACTAATTGTCAACAAGTATTTTCTAATTAATGGAGAGACAGAGACTAGACAAAAGTACTCCTTGAAGGTCTGAGTGACAGGAGGTGACCAAGGATGAAGCGTCATTGCCAGGTAGACTGACCACTTCCTTACACCATGGTGACCTTCTCCGTAGCCCTGGGCAGCACTGGGTGCCCACCGTGGACCTTTCTTCTTCCCGTGCTCTCTGCTTTTGCGATGAAGCACCCATCCCAAATGTAGATACAGGCTTTCCATCTGTGTCATACACACCCAGATTACTGCAGGTGTGCAAGCCATCCTTCTCTCATTCAGGCATTGCTTAAAACCTTTTTTGGGTACTGATTTTATCATTAAGCTCTCTGTAGGCCACACTTAGGTCTGACCTCCTCTCAGGGATCTGTAATCCCCAAATTTATCAACAGGCATGAAATACCCTTTTGTGTACTTTTATTAAGCACCCATTGCTCTTCATGAAAACCCAGTGACATACTTAACCCATCTTCCAAATCCATTTAGCATTATATTTACCCTAAATAAAACCACATTTTAAAATACATTTTTACTCACTTAGAGCTGATGATTATTTTCTCAGCATGCAGCAACTTTGTGAAAATATAGGAGTTAGAACTAGGACACCAAGAATTCAACGCTTGTCCCTCGTACAGCGTCCATCACTGGACCATCACAAGCGCCTCTGAGAGCTGTGCCTCGCTTGCACCCTCACACACGTTCGCCCATCTCCCAGGCGACAGAGACCAAGCGGCCGTGTTTCCAGAGTGCAGAACGTGGCATGCTAACGTGTGCTCACGACGTCTCTTTCTTAAGTAAGGCTGGACTTTTGGCTAGAAAAAAGAGCTAAAATGAGAAAACTAAAAATTCTGATGAATTAATGAACTTTTAATATCCTGACTATAGACATCCTCTCTGCCTCTGATGTCTCACTGTTCTCAATAAACGCTGACCACTAGATATGTTGCCTGCTCACCCAGAACCACACTGATTTCTGTATTTATATAATGAAGTTGCATCTTTAAATTATTCTAAATTTTTTTTTCCTTGTCAGGTTATCAACATGGGCATTAGCATGGCTCCAAATGTTAGTGTGGAAATCATGATCCCAAATTCTTTTGTTCCCCAAACTGATAAACTGTTCAACATTTTGGATGTCCAGGTAAAACTGAGTTCTGATCTTTATATTCAGTCTATGTTAAGTAATAAAACAAATGTAGTCCAGTCCTTAATTCTTAGTATTGCTAAGTCAGGGATTTCTGTTCCCTTCTTTCAGTCTCATGACTGAATGAATTCATCATGCATTAGTATCATATAGGGCAAGAGAGATAGCTCAGTGAACTAAGCACCTGCTTAAGCAAGCTCAGGGACCGGGGTTCAATCCCCGGCACCATATGTTGTGCTGGTCCTGCTCCCAGGCATGTTGAGCCCACCACCAAGTCTGGGCATGGTGGTACACGCCTTTAATTCCACCACTGGGAGGCTGAAAACAGGAGGATCACGCTGAATCTGAGCTGTGTTGTGAGACCCTGTACCAAATATAGAGCTTTAGAAGTATAGAATAGTGGAACTTCATTTGACTTACACAATTAAACTCTCTTCTATCATGTATACTGAGTAATTAAGACATGTTTTCTTTGTGATATGGATATGTTAAACTAATTTAGTTGGGAGACTTCTCCATGAAGCTTGAAACTGCTATTGAAAGATTAATGGAGCTTTTCAAGGAAAACAAAATTTAAATAACATGAATCTAGTTTTCTCTTATTGATCCATCAGAATTCTTCTTACCTCTAGGTAGCAAAAAAAAAAGTATTTACCAAGTGAAATACATATCTAAAATGTATTTCAGTATATTTTTGAAATCTTGCTTGAATTCCAGATTTAGATAGTAGGAGATACAATTTTATCATCTTGTTTTGCACATAAAGCCAAAGAAAGGTTTAACTGCAGGCTAATGCTCAAATTTATTTTTGTCCTCTCTCATATTCTGTAAGGTTAAGGTCATTCTGTCAGCATAGAACCTAAATCCAACCCTTGACAACTCTGCTGGGATTTTGTTCATGTCTTGCCGTAGAGACTTAAGCTTTCCTAAATAATTCTGTCCAAGTATTTTCATGATCTTTTCACAACTTGATGTAGTTTAGAAAATGTAAGTAATTAGAATTTTTAAACCACATTGTGTCCTTTTCAACATTAAATATAACGTTTTTCTTGCTTTTGGCATTTACAGACAACTACTGGACAATGCAAGTTTGAAAATTATCAAAGGGAGTGTACATCAGGGCAGAAGCGGGATGCTGTGGAGACCTTAAAAGGCATCCTCAAGTTCTTGTCAAAGACTGACAAGAGGGTACTGGTAAGTCTTAGTCCAACATGTTGTAGTTTTCATGTTCTAAAAAAGGCCTGAAGGGTCCAAAATGTACAATGGATGTGAAATGGGAAGAAACTTCTACAAAAAAGAAAAGTAGGGGAGGGGGAAAGAAGGACAGGCAAAAGAAAACAGCAATACAGTTGTACTTCCAGCTTCTCTTAGTTCATTGAGAAAAAAAGTTTATGTCGACATTGTTTGGACAATTTTTCATGCCTCTCTCGTACTATGAGTAACTGCTGCGAAGACAGCAATGCACAACGTATTAGCTATTGTTTTGAAATATTGTGGGTTTTTTTTTTTTTACTTTATTTTTTGCATTTTAGGGAAGGGTCTACAGGGTGTTCAGGGTCTCACTACCAAATCAGACTCATAGTGATCCGCTTGTTTACAGCCTCCCAAGAGCTGGGATTACAGGTGCACACCACCATGCTCAGTCTCCATTGCCCTCTCAGTGCTCCCCGGGGGGTGAGGCCGGGGTTTTTTCCATAACATAAAATTTTTAAAAATAAAACGCATAAAACACTAGTGGGAGCTGCCAGCTGGGTGATGGAGAGAATGCAAGAGTAGGGCACATCCTTGTGTGAAAGGGTAAGCATGATTGGAGGATCAGGAAAGACCCAGCGTTCGCTAGAGATTCCAGCCTCATTATCTACCAAACGACCCTGGTGTGGTCCAATCCGGTCCCAGACCCTTTCAGAACACTGTCGCCTGGACAGCCTCGCCTATTCATTCTCTCCATCCTCATGAGCCTGGGAACAGAAACTAGGTGAGCAACCACCCCGTTCAAATGATGCAGGAGTAGAACACAGAGTCTCGCAGGACTCTGTTACTAAGAATGGCGAGAACACACGCTCCGCTTCGAACACTTCGTTTCTGTTATAACTTACAAAACAAACATTTCGTGTTTTATTTAAAGCGAGTTTTAAATGCCACTGAGGAAAGCAGATATTTGATGGCATGTTCATGGAAAGACAAATTATGAAATGCCATAAAAGATTGTTTTTATGATGATAATTTTGAAGGTAAATGTTGAGAATTTTTAATGTAGTACTTTTATATTCTTTTGTAGTACTGCATGAAAACTGATCCATACTGTTTAAATATTCTATGCAATTTTGGGAAAATGGACAGTGGAAAAGAAGCCAGTATACACATTCAGTTGGAAGGCCGGCCATCCATTTTGGAAATGGTAAGTCTAAAATACATGGACAGCTTCACAGATACATGCATAAATATCTAAGTTTAATCTCATCCAGGCAACATCGTATGAAGGCATTTGACAAATGAAGATATAAATAAAAATTTGGAATAAAACTTAAAATTGATTTCTGCTATCACTTCAGAGCTCTAAAAACTATGGTATAATGGAGTAGTTTAGAAAGCATGCCCAACTCTTTTTAAACCTTAACTAAATCAAAGAAATTGACCATCTTCACATTTCATATAACCTTAAAAATTCTTTTCACAATGCTTTCAATTATCCATACAATCTTTTGAAAGTAGTTATGTAGTAAAATCAAGGCTTTTGTAAAATGAAACTAAACCATCAGAGTATACCAACAATACCAAAACATAATAATGAAAAAAAAAAACACACAATAGAATGACACTTAAAATTTAAAAATAGGGCTGGGGAGATAGCTCAGTGGAATAAGTGTTTGCCGGGCAAACACAAGGTCCTGAGTTCAATCTCTGGTACCTACCCCTCCCACACACACAAAAACACCTACCTGTCTGTTGGACTTTTTATGAAGTGTACTTTGAGATGAAACTATTTTTATCTGAAGTCCTATTGTGCAGTTTCCTCATCTGCTCAGTATGAGCAATGTTTAAGTAGTGTTTAGATTAAATGAGATGATTTATGGCAGCTGTTGGAGGTTTTTTTCTTTCTACAGCAGTCCTGGGGATTGAACTCAGGGCCTGCACACTGAGCTACATCCCTAACCCTTTCATTTTAAAAAAATATTTATTTATTGTTTGTTTATTTGGCACAGGGTCTTACTACGTAGCTCAGACTCATAGTGATCTTCCTGTGTCAACCTCCCCAGCACTGGGGTTACAGGTATGCACCACCACACCCGGTTTAGGGCCAGCAAGGCATGTGGTGCCAGGGATCAAGCCCAGGTCCTGTGCTTGCTAGACAGGTGCTTAGACCACTGAGCTATCTCCCCTGCCCCCTTTTCATTTCGCCATCTCCCTGGGTGGCCCAGATGAGAGAGATTGGTCTATGTCAGCTTCAGCTGTGCTGTCAAGTCTGGAGACCAGGAGAAAGTCCCCTGACTTCTCAGGTTGCCATCTGACCTTCCCCAGGCTTCTCCACAGTGAGATTGCTCATGTTTCAAAGCAGATAATTTTTATTGTCAGGCACTGTCCTGTGCCATGTGTGGTATTTCGCAGCACCCCCTGCTGCTGCCCACCGGACACGGGGGGTACCACGGCCCATCCTGACACAGGTATCTCCAGATAGTGCTCTGAATTTAGACAAAGCTTGTAAAATGTCAAATAATCTTTACACAGTAGTTTTTAAGTTTCTTTAAGAACCTTTTTAAGAGCCTGACCAAGGAAAATAGTCTCATTGTAGCATTTATAGACAAGAAAACACTGTACCTCTGCAAAGCCTGTATGTGGACCACCAAGCTCTGTGTGTTCCAAGTTATAAAGTCCTGACTGTAGGAGTAAGACTCTGAGTTCATGCACTGATTTTATATCTGGATTCTATTACAATTTGCATGAGATTTCTTTTAAAAGAAACGTTAGACTTGAGAGAATGTTTATCAGGTTACAAAAAAAAAAAAAAGTCTTGCTTGGGGATAAAAATGTAACATTCCCAAGGAAATAACCTCTTATTATAGTCTAACAAATAATATTTAAATCAAGTTCCCTGCCACATAGTTATGCTTAATAAAAGGCTTTTGATGAAATAATACCATATAAACATGTACTAAGACCACACCTGGGAACTCGTGGGAAACACTGCATGTCAGTAAATAGGAAAGCAAACTGCAGAAACATCTAGATAATACATGGGTCATAAGAATTATTGGATTTTTTTATTTTATTTTATTTTATTTTTTTATTTTATTTTATTTTATTTTTTTTGTGGAACCAGGGATTGAACTCAGGCCCTTGCACTTGCCAGGGAAGTGCTTATTCCACTGAGCGATCTCCCCGGCCCCCATAAGAATTATTAATATGACTTTGTGGAATAAAACTCAACAAAGTCACGATAATGTTTCTGTGGTTCCCACAGGATGACACTTCCTCACTCAAGTTGGAGATAAGAGCAGCAGCTTTTGCAGAGCCACACCCCAGAGTTATCGAGCTGAACAAGGACGAGAACGCAGCACACGTAAGTGCTAGAACCATTAGGAAGCGTGCCGTGAGCGTGTCTAGAATCGTTTCCTTTCGCCTGAGTCAGAAAATTAGCACGTAAGCAGATTGTGGAGGACGTGGAGCACTTCACCAAGGTGGCATTTTCTGCAACGACAGGAGGGAAGATTTTCGGGAAGGTACAGTGGGTAGCGGTGAGAATAGGGTGACAGAAGAAACCCCACTGCCTCACAGGTAGTGCTGTTCCCTGCGGTTGAGTAAAAGCAGCAGGACAGGGGGGTGCCTACTTCTAATTTTATAGGGACTTAGTGAGGTTGAAAGGAAGTGACAATTTCTAAGCTGTCTCTCTTAATTTTTCACACAGGTCCTCCTGGAAGGATTACACCATCAAAAGCCCAAGCGCCATTTCACCATAGTGATTATTTCAAGTAGCTTGCTACTTGGACTCATTGTACTATTGTTGATTTCATGCGTTATGTGGAAGGTAAGCCTTTAATAATTACCAAATTTAGTGTTGCCATTCAATCTCCTCAAAAGACCATTTTCTCAGAGCTAATGTATGGCTCCACATTACTGAAGTATGTTCATATTCTGGTTGTTGGTATTATGTTCAACAATGAAGTCCCCAGTCTCTCCCCCTCCCAGGATTCTACATCTTCTGCTAGTGTACATAAAATAGCAGTAGACCAATGCGTTACATTCTTCAGAGGTCTTCACAGTCAATGTAAGTTTTTATTCTAATTACAGTTGCTATTCTAAAATAAATATCTCAATGTCTTCTAAAAAAACCAAAAAAATTACTGAAGTATACAGGCTAACTTTTTATATCAGGTGAATATATAGCATTGGTTGCGTATTTCTTCTAACATCCATACCAAAGTCTTTCTGGAAAAAAGTTTATTTTCAAATAACAAATGTTCAAGCTATAACACCAGATTTGCAAGATGATCTTTTAAAAGAGCATTTGCGAAACATTGTGGAGCATGTTGGATGCCATGTTCAGGGGACGAGGTTGTGCACCGTGTTACTGCATTGACAACAAAACACAACTTTAGCCAAATATGTCCCAAACTAATTTTTACTGACTACATTGGGTAAAACTCTCTGAATTTTTGTTTCAAGGGATATTGTTAAAAGATATATTGGCAGCCAGGTGTGGGGGTGCATGTTTGTAATCCCAGCACTTTGGAGGCTGAGGCAGGAGGATGGTTAGGAGTTCCAGAAAACCCTGAGCTACAAAGTGAATTCAAAGCCAGCCTGAACTACACAGCAAGACCCCCATCCCCCTCTCTCTTTCTCTCAGACTATGAACAGTGTAGCCCTGATATACAGATTTCATACTGAATACACTGGTTTAACAGGAAGACTTCTGGATAACTACAAATCTATGTGTTTTTTCTTATACATCCATATATATATATATATATATATATATATATATATATATATATATATTAATTGATTGGGTATTTGATGTGAATATTGTACACTTGTAACCATACATCAGTTACAATGTAATTCCATTTTTAGGCTGGCTTCTTTAAAAGACAATACAAATCTATCCTACAAGAAGAAAACAGAGATAGTTGGAGTTATGTCAACAGCAAAACCAATGATGATGAATAAAGACTGCTTTCAACTTCAGAGAACTGAAGAGACTCAGGTTAGGCTAAAATCATTGTTTACAGGAAAACAAAATTTTCTCAGATTTTTTTTTTTTGCATATTTCTTTTACTTACAACATGATATGTGTTACCGAGGTAAAAATTCAAGTCATGACTGTTCTTGCAAAGAGAATGACTGCAAAGCTGTAATACTTAGCACAGCCAAAGAAGATCTTACAGAAATTAAATGGGTAGAAGAACACTACAGCCTTCGACTTATTCAAGAAGAATAAATGCTGAAAGAGATCTTGAAAGTCCATTGGAACTAAGGCCTAGTGGACCAGGACACATGAGCACTGATTCATTTCAAATACGTCTTTGAGACTGTTGGACAAATGTTCTTTAAACACATTTCATGGAATTTTCCTTAAAGACCTTTTTTACAATGCATTTCCTTTGCTCGAGTGACCATTTTATTCAACAGACTATGAACAGTGTAGCCCTGATGTACAGATTTCATACTGAATACACTGATTTAACAGGAAGACTTCTGGATAACTACAAATCTATGTGTTCTTTTCTTATACATCCATGTTGTTTAAAAAGAATATATATGCATAGATACATGTATAGGTATAAATCTGATCATCTCCTACAATATACATCTATCAAGAGTACCTAGGGGTTAAGAGAAAACCACCCTGAAATGTTTTGGTTTATAACAAATTCTTAAGTGTTATAATTTATATTCTAAAACAATGGATTATAAATGTTGCACTTTAGCTAATATACACTGATATATTTAAGAAATATGAAAACTGGACATCATTAGTGATTTTAGGAATCTGTCCAAAGAGTGATACAGGGGCAGTATTTGACTTGCTGGGTACTGTACAAAATACCATCATAATTAAGCAAATATGCGTTTTACTCAGGCCTGTTCAGGCATTCTCCACAGAAATGCAGGAATACATTTTGCAGACAACTGAAAAATACACATTGGAATGATACAGTTAACATAAAAGTGGCATCAGAATTTCCATGAGATGTTTGGATAACAGGAGCTAAAAGTTTTAACTTAATATTATAGAAGGTTCTATTTTAAATAAATTATTTAAAATACAGCAAGAAGCCATTTTATCATTCAATGAATCTTCAAATATAATCATTTTGTAATATTTATTTCATATAAATATATGTGTATGAAAACTATGGCCAGTTTTTCAACATCTGTTAGAGGAAGTGATCAAATAAGAGAACAGTCTCAACTGTTACAGGAAATATTACTTTACACAAAGTCGCTGCCAGCTGTCTACCTCCTTGGATTTCCTGACTCGTGAAAGCCATCCATTCCTAAGCTTCCACTCTATGACCAGTGCCTGGAAAATGAGGATTACGTACACAGATTTTTGAAGGCACTTGAGCAATAGAACTTAAGCACAAAGCCTCTTTCAATCAGAATATACATGGTAAACTTTGTTTTGCTTGTACATATTTTAAATAACACATTTGTGCATAAGGTGTATTTTTATGCTTTTATTAAAAAATTTTAGCTCTTTTAGAATATTGAGGCTCATATATGAAAATGAAGCACAGATCTAGAGAACTATTGTCTCTAAGAAAACTAAAATTTGGTGGCTATGCTGAAAGCTAAGGGTCAGACCCAGGCCTTTCTAGTGCAAGAAAGACAGAGTTACCTGGTAGCTTTCATCCAGTTAGGTGCCTTAACATGGTTCCAGAAAAAAAATCTATCAACTTTGTGATGGGTTTTAAATCCTATTTTACAACCTGCTTTTAGAAGGTGGTCTACGTATTACAAAGATTTTTGTAAAAGAAAGTCCTGATTTTGGTCATATCATCGACTTCTTGTGTGATTTTTGAAATTTAACTCCTCCAGATTAGATACCTCAGTGTGGTCCTGAGAGGGATCTGTTTGCATCAGGCTACAGGAAATCTGACACCAGACTTGGTGGGTTTAAATCCTGGAAAATAAAACCTCAAATGATTTTGATTTCAAATTATCTTAAATATTGATATATCCTGATAATACGTGAAGGCATTGAATGTTTATTTTCACTTGCAATAAACACCTTCTAAAGACAGGAACTTGAAATTTTTTCTTTATATTTTTTTAATCTTGATTTTCAAAGCTCTGACTCCTGCATTTTAGTAGTACCAATAATACCACTTTTAATTTCTTACAAATACATTTTCTGTTAGAATATCTGTTTAAGTCATGATCAAATCATCCCATACAAAAATGGTACTTTACATATTTCTATTATAAACAATTGCATGTTACTTTAGAATCATTCATTTCTTCCATGATTCCTCCATAAAAACTGATACATCCTGGGTGTAATCTGTAAAGAATAACATAATTTATTATTTCATATCAATCACTCAGTTTGTCATTCTTTACATAGACTTCATGAGTAAGGTGTGCGGCTGGGGAGATAGCTCAGTGGCATAAGCACTTGCCTGGCAAACGCAAGGGCTGGAGTTCAATCCCCAGTAGAGAAGAAGAAAAAGTATGGTACCTAATGCCACATACAGATTAATAACCAACAAATATATTCATGGCAGAGTCAAAAATGAAGAGACCTGAAATATCTACAGTAACTATTCCAAAGCTGCCTTTACCTCTGTAGAAGGGTCAGTTGTTCCTGTAGAACATGCACACCGAGAGGGTGCCCTGTACACTTTTCTATCCACTTTGTCATCACCCGCTCAAGGAGAGTTTGCATTCACCTATGCCTACTTCTACCAGTTGCCATTGTTAATATGTACAGCTGTTCATTTGTAAAGTATTGAATGCCTTGTGAAGAACTGATGAAAGCCAACTGCTGAGCATGAAGTGTTGTGGGATTAGAAACCTGTAAGAGGAAAACAAGACTAACATTCTCCTCCTCAAAGGGCTTCAGAGTAGTTTAAGATCTTGATCAATTTTTTAAAAATCCAAAGTGTAAAACATAGCTACCTGTGTAGTCTATGATGAATAACTTGGAAGATGTTGAGACATACCCAAACACAATGACTTTGTTCCACATAAGAGTTGGTTAATAAATGTAAAGTTATTTCCTATTCATTGAATGTTGGATATATGTCTTTTTATGCTTCTCTGATTAGCCATTTTTTCAATTTATCAACTACCTCCTCCTTGCACTGTTGAGAGAAGCTGGGTTTCACTGGATTACTAGGTTGTGTCTACTGGTTAACATAAAGCAGTGAATAACTGGACTTACCTAACATGGACCTCTGATGCAACTTCCATTAAGTCGCCATCCACATTCCAAGGGAAGGTAGTGTTTCCTGAGGGCATTTCCTGAGATCCATCCTCCTCCCCTGGATTGTATCCAACAGTATTCCTTGGGTACACTTTTACTTCTTCAACATTGTAAGTCTCGATGAATGGAAAATTAAACTAAATAAAACAAAGGCAAATCATGATGCTTGCTTTATTTCTACCTGGGAATGTAAATCAAGGAGGTTGTTGTGTCCCCTCTCACAAGATGTCATCATGCATGTTTGTGTTTCTCTTTTGACAGCTTTGAAACTATGATGGGGGTCTCCATGTTGTTTTGAGGGCTTCTCTTTCCTGAAGTTTTCCTGGCTTAATTAGAATACTGTAGGGAAGTTAGTTCATGTCAATAATTGTACATAGTGATACTGTACTGTTTCCAAATAAAAGACTGGATCTTCAGTGCTGATGTGTTGAGACAGAAGGTCTGTGTAATCCAAAGATTCCTTATGTATTCATCAATTAGTTTAGCTGATGTGAAGGAAGCTGTAGTGTACTTTCACATCTGGAATCTGGGAAGAAGTGAGGTCTAAACGTTTGAAAAGCGAAGTCTATCTTAAAAGAGCCTAAGAAGCCTGCCTGCCTCCCACGGCATGTGCCTGCCTCCTCTTCAGTAACTGCAAGGTGATCGTACTTGGTTCAGTTATTCACAGATGGTGCAAGGGGAACCTGAACTCAAAACATTCCCCATGTGACTAAGAGAACTGTAAGGAAAAAGCACTACGTGGTCCCTGAAATAATTTTAAAGAATTCTAATTTTCCACCTAAGTACATTCTGTATGTAGTGTTCCACCTTTCTTCCACACACAAACAAGTCAGAACTTTAAGTCGATAGAAAACAAATACTTTTGCCACCACCTTTATTTTACCTAAGTGGAAGCCAACTTCAGCAGATGCTGGTTTATTCTAAGAAACTGACTTACACATGCTTTGCCTGGTGGCCTCAGCTGTCATGAGTGGGGCTGAGGCACAGGGTTCCAGGTGGCTCTCTCCAACTGCCTGACAGTCACCGCTCCAGATCTCCTGCTCCAGGTGTAAAGCCTTAGGGACATGCCTCATAGGTGCAGAAATTTCTGCATAATCATTCATTTAAACGAGTCATTAATAATTGGCTGTGGTTTAGATTACATTCCCACACAATTAAAAATACCAAGTTCTAGGGCCGGTGAGGTAGTTCAGTGGACTAAGCACCTGCTTAGGCAAGCGCAGGGACCGGGGTTCAACCCCTGCGCCATGTGCCACACTGGCCCTGCCCCCAGGCAAGCTAAGCCAGCAACTGAGTCCTGGTGTGGTGGCACACACCTGCAATCCCAGCACGGGGAGGCTTGAAAACAGGAGGATCACTACAAGTCCAAGCTCTGTAGTGAGACCCTGCACAAAATACAAAATACCCAAAAAGCAAGTTCCAACCCCTGGTACGTCTGAATGTCATTACATGTGGAGGTAGGCTCTTTACAGATATAATCAAGATGAGGTCAAAAGTGTGTTCTTTTCACTCAGTTGTGGATGAGAGAAAAGGGAAGAATGTCACAGGATACCAGAGCCTAGGATCGCAGTGCTGAACCTCCAGGCCAAGTGGTGCCAAGAACTGACAGCCATCCGTTTCAGAAGAGGGGTAAGAGGAACAGGTAGGCGTGTCACCATGATGGTATCAAGGGAACAGGAAGGAACAATAGGAGCAGCAGGCATCTGAACAGTCCTAAAGAGCACAGAAGGGGAGGAGAGGTGGAGAGGAGCTCTGGAGAGAGAGAGCAGCATGTGCCAAGGAACAGGAGCAGGTCGTGATGTGGCAATCAGAGAAACATTCGGCGGCGCTATTACGGGCTGAATTGTGTCCCCTGCTTCCCAAGCATTTCTAGGTTGAAATTACATCACACCCCTAGTGCCTCAGGACAGACTATTCAGAGATAATGCTTTTAAAGAGGAGATTGAGTTAAACCTACATCTGGAGAGTGGGCCTCCATGCAATGTGATTGGGGTCCTTATCAAACAGGAAACTTGGCTGAACAGCAAGATACCACTGAGGCACTGCCCAGAGACACAAGGAGGAGGAAGCCAGCATAGCCTCATGAGAAACAGGCAATGCTGCCATCCTCTTGAATGAGTGGTCTCCAAATTATGAAAATATATTTGCTTGTTTGTTTAAGCCACCAACTCTGTATGTCATGGTGGCAGCGCTAGAAAAGTAATGCAATGATCAAAACACAGGCCCAGGGCTGGTCAAATAGCTTAGCAGATTAAAGTGCCTGTAAGCAAGTGCAGGGGCCAGGGGTATGATCCTGGGGCCTGCCCTGCTGGCCCCACCCCGGTGGGGTGGGTGACAATTATTCCCAGCTCTTGGGAGGCTGTAAACAGGCAGATCACTATGAGTCCGATCTAGTAGTGAGACCCTGAACACCCTGTAGACCCTTCCCTAAAAAATACAAAAAAAAAAAAAAAAAAAAAAAGCCACAGCTCCCTTCCCCCAAACTCCAGTGGGTGGTACAGGAAGTGAGGCTATGACATAACCAGGGCCATAACACAAAGGGTCTGCACTGCACTGTGTGCTGAGGAATTAGACTATTATTCCGGGGACAATGGGAAAGGCCCCAAAGGATGAAGAGGGGCTCCAGAAAATTCCCTCTAAAAGGAAATACAAAAGACAATACTAACTGAGGACAAGGTCATTGTACAAGAGGGATTAGGGTTTGAATTCAGAAGAGGGAGAAATTTCAACAAGAGATCAAAAGCAGTTAGTGGGTTGGTGGTGGTGACCAAGAGTGAGGGGCATGTAGCATGTCCCCAGCCTAGTAGGAAGCAGTGTCCCTGACGTGCACAGGGAACATGGAAGGACCAGCAGGAGGACAGAAGACAATAAGGCTGCTTCTGGATGTGTCAGGCTCAGAGGCCTAAGTATTTTCCAGCCTTTGCAGCACATGACAGCAGAGTGGTCCTGCAGATCAGAAAGAAAACAAGACCCTGGGAAGGGCGCAGGGCTCAGAGAGATCAGAGTTCAAACAAGAGGGGCAGAGGCCACTAAGGAGTGGGCATCCTGGGAGGAGAGGCAGGCAGCCTACATTCCCGGGAAGCTCTAACAGGAAGGCTAGAACCTGATTATATACATAGTCCCAGCCAGTGAGAGACCTGGGGACAGAGGGACGTGGGCAGCAACTGGGTGGCACAGGATTCTGCAGAGTAACGTTAGCCTGTCCAGTAATAGGGATGAGGAGGCAACCACAGTGGTTTCCTGTTGTTGGAGGCTAAACAGGTTAAACACCTGTTCTGCTTACCTGGCAGTCACAGTTCAGAGAAGATGCTGCTGCTCACAGGTAGAAGAACTCTGCTTATTTCCTGCGTCCCAGCACTGCTCCTAACTCACTATGTGGTAGACACTAGCATCGCACCTTGGCTTGCCTTTATACACCTAAGCAATTCTATAAATTCAGTTTTGAAAATGTCATAATAGAAAGAGGATATATATCCATTCTGTTCATTTGATAGATAATTTTTAACAAATGTATCAAATGCTAGTTGAGATCAGTTATCTTGGATAAATCTATGTATTCATGGTATCCCACATTATGTAAGACATTTTACAATTTCTTTGCAAAAAATTACAGAGCAGTCTCATGAATTTTAATTTCTCTCTCTCTCTCTTTTCTCTCTCTTTTTTTTTTTTTTTTTTTTTTTTTTTTTTTTTTTTTTTTTTTTTTTTTTTTTTTTTTTTTTTTTTGCAGGACCAGGGATTGAACTCAAACCCTTGTGCTTGCCAGGGAAGCTCTTATTCTACTGAGCCATCTCCCCATCCCAAACTTTAATTTCATATAGTAGCTAAGTTATTTAGAGTTAAGTCTCATGGAACTTATACACAAATATGCAGGAAATATTTTTTGGGTTTATTTATGTATTTATTTGTATATAGTACAGGGTCTACAGGGTCTCACTATGTAGATCAGCCTATGTAGTGATCCTCCTGTTTTCAGCCTCCCAAACACTGGGATTACAGGCATGGGCCACCACTCCCAGTCTCAATTGCCATTTCAGTGTGCCCAGGCGGTGGGGGGTGGCATGGTACCCTGGCCACTGCGCTCTGCCTAGCCAGGCACTTTAGTCTGCTAAGATATCTGGCTGGCCCAATTTTCTGGTTTGTTTGGTTTCTATAAAACAAGGTCTGATTTTCTAGACTCGGCTGGGCTTTGAGCTTGCGTTCTACTGCCTCAGCTCCCTGAATGTGGGGGTCATAGGCATGTGCCACTGTTCCCAGCTTAGTTTTCTTTATTAAAAGACAGCTAAATGTCATGGTGCATGCCTGCGACCCATAAACTGGAGGCTGAGGTGCAAAGACTGCCATGCTTGAGCTCAGTCTAGGCAATTTAGTAAACTTAGTCACTTAGCAAGAATTTTTTTAAATTTTATTTTAGGGAAAGGTCTCTTTCTGGGTATTCAGGGTCTCACTACTGGATCAGACTCGTAGTGATCCGCCTGTTTACAGCCTGCCAAGAGCTGGGATTATAGGCACTCCCCACCATGCCCAGTCTCAATTGCTGGCTCAGCGTGCCCTGGGGGCGGGGCAGACAAGGAATTTGTTTCAAAATAATTTTTCGATAAAGAAAGGCTGAAGATGTAGCTGAGTGCAATAAAAACATACTATCACTGACAGGACTTACTGTAAAAGTAGGTCAAATATATTTTGAGTAATATGTTCTCCTTTAAAAAAAAATCCTATTGCTATCTGTTTTTCATTAAATTTTTGAAAAAAAACAAAAAACCCAAAATAGTTAGGATAGATGTTCAGCTACTTTCTCTTAATTCAGTGAGAAGAAGGATTTCTACCAATAGTGTTTGGACAGGATATCATGTTTGCATCTTGCACTATGGATAACTACTACAAGGACAACAACGTGCAATGTATTAATTATTGTAACTATCCTACTAACCTGTTCTGAAACTGTCTCAGTGAGATTTCTCAATAAAATTAATAAAAAAAAATCCTATACAGATTTTCATTATGTTCTGTATACTTTTTTTTAAAGCTAAACATCACTTTTGAAATCAGAAAATACTCTCACTGAAAAAAAAAATCTATACAAATTGCCAGTGGCCTTAAGATTTTACCTCATGAGGGAATTCCAGAAGAGAACTTTTCTAAACAGTTTGCATAATATAAATATCCCTTAAATAAATACAGAGCCTCTCATAGAAAGATTAATAGGCTAATACTCATTTAACTCTTTAGGATATTTAGTGTTGATGTTTTATTTTTTTCATAATTTTATGGATAAACAAATAGCAATGAGACAGTTTCAAATCAAATCGCTAGGACAGTTTCAATAACTAACACACTGCATACATTCTTCTTAGTGGTTAATTGCTGTACAAGATGCGGACTTGAGATCCTATTTACAAACACCATTAGAACAAATCATTCTATTCATTAAGAGAATGTAACTATATATCTATCCTAACCACTTTGAATACACAGATACAAAATGGACATTCATCCGTATACCCCTTTTTTGCTAAGTTCCGTCATTTGAATATTAGTGTTGATGTTTTAATGTTTAAATCTTTGAGCTATTTTGACTGTAATTTAGCCCATGGTGATAGACATGGGTCTAATTTTAGTCTTTGTCATGTGGAAAGCCAGTTTTTCCAGCACCATTATTCTTCCAGTAAACATGTTTGGTCCCTTTGTCAAAGATAAGGTGGTTGAGTATGTTTGTGGTTGAATCTGCGTCTTCTAGTCTGTTCCACTGTCCCCGAGGTCTGCCTTTATGCCACTACCATGCTGATTTTATCATAGTAGCTTTAGAGTATAATTTCAGGTCAGGGATTGTGATGCCTTTCCTTTGTCGCCCAGGACTGCTTTTGATATTCTGAGTCTCTTCAGGTTTCAGATGAATTTTAGGAATGTTTTCTCTAGATCTGTGAGGTATACTAATGGCATTTCAATTGGGCTTACATTGAACCTGGACAACAATTTTGGGAATATTATTCAGCTATAAAAAATGATAAATTTGAGGCTTTTATTGGTAAATGGATGCAACTAGAGACCATAATCCTAAGTGAAATAAATCAAGATCACATATGCAAATATCATATTACCTCCTTAGTGTGAGAACCTGAAGGAGAAAAATCAAATCCAAAGGAGACAGCCGATACTGGGAAAATGGAATGAACCTGTTCAAAATGAAGAAATTACTGAGATGAGGAGAAGAACAGGAGAGGGAGTCAGGGTAAGAGATGTCTATACATGTGAGCAGGATGGTTTGGACAACTGTACTATGGACTTCTGCTGATCTACGGAAAGGAGCAGTTAATCCTTAATTTGTTTGGTCTTCTTTTTTCAATTCTTTTTCCTTTTTCTCTATTCTTACTTTCTTAAATATTTTTCTTTCTTTTTCCAATTTTACATGTATATATCTGATAACATGGACTACTAATTGGAATATAGCACTATGCAATACAAGAAATACTGTGAAATTCATATTATTTCGTTTAGTGGAATTCCGCATCATTTGTGATTTTTCTGTTTTAATACTATTTGTCTCTCTTTTAAATAAAGTTTTCCCTTAAAAAGAATCTACATACCAAGTCCATGACTATCAACAAGAACATAGAATTTTTAGTGGTTTTTCTTTCTTTTCTGACTTAAATCAGATTAAGAAAAAGTTTTAAAATTTAAAAATATAGTAAAATCTGAGAAGGCACACATTTCTTTGATAAATGTCAATAAATTTACATATTTACCAAACACACATAAATCACTGCTTAGGCTTACACCCTATAATGCATTTATTTTCCTACATGGCCTTCTTAGAGATCTGTATTTAAGAAAAGTGTGGCTTTATCTCATTTTTGCAATTTAACTTCTTAAATAGTACAGCAGGGCTATGTGTTGGCCAGCATGGCTGACAGAAGAGAAACTCAAACTGGAATGATGGCTTAGTTTGAAATCCTGAGGCAGAAGCAGAGGTGGGTTTTTTTTGTTGTTGTTGTTTTGTTTTGGGTTTTTTTTTTTTTTTTTTGGTAGAACCGGGAATTGAACTCAGGCCCTTGCGCTTGCCAGGCAAGCACTTATTCTACTGAGCCATCTCCCCAGCCCCAGAAGCAGAGTCTCAAAGTAGCTGTGTCCAGCTACTTTACTGCTCCTCTGGATTTACTGCTTCACCCACCCATACCTGTTCCTTCCCACCTATGTCCCAGCACCATTTTATACCCTTTGGAATGTGAGACTATTGGATTTTCCTATCACACCTGTATACTTCAACACTATTATCTGAGTCAGAATATCTGCCAAAAGAAAATGGCATGTCACTATTTTTCATTAAAATTAATCACCCAGGTTGAAATATATAGCCCTATTTATTATGATTTTAAATAGAATAATTTAAAGATTGTTTTAAAAACATCTGCAAATGTGTTGGAATCAATGAGTACAGGCAGCTGTGTAAGGATCAGATCATAACTTTAGAGAATCTGCCCCCCCACAAATTCAAGAAAGCTAAAATCCCAGATTTTACTATTTTCCATTTTTTAAAAAATCTATTTCATGGGGCTGGAGAGATGGCTCAGTGGTCTAAAGCACCTACTTGGAACAAGCTTGGCAAAGCACAGGGACTGTGGTTCGATCCCCCAGCACCACATGCCAGCCAGCCCCGCCCCCTGGTGGGCTGAGCTGGCCACACACACACACACACACACACACACACACTAAATAAAATGTTAAAAAAAAATTTAAAAAATAAATCTATTTCATTGTTGCGGCGTGTTTCAGGGTCTCACTGTACAGCTCGGACTCATGGTGACTCACCTGCTTTCAGCCTCCACAGCACTGGGATTACAGGCCTGCGCCACCATGCCTGGACTCTGGCTGGCTCAGCGCACCCTCAGAGTGGGACTACCAAGGCATGTGGTGCTGGGGATTGAACCACGGTCTGTGCGCTTGCCTAAGCAGACACTTTAGTCCACTGAGTTATCTCGCTGGCCCTACTCTTCTTTTTCTTTACTTTTTCCCTGAGGGTGGAGGGCGGGGCTGGAATGGTTATGTGATGCCAGGGATTGAACCACCATCCCCTGCGACTACCTATGCTTGCCTAAGCATGTGCTTTATACTGCTGAGCTATCTCACCAGCCCGCTACTTTTCATTTTGAACAACACCCTGAGTATGTAATTATATCACTGACTTCCTTCAAATTTAGTATAAAATTACATTATCTATTTCAATTTGTGCAAGAAAATGTACAGCCTATATCTCAACAAAGGCCAATCTACATTAATATTGCTGGATGCTTTACAAAATCTAGATGAAATATAGATTGGAAAAAAAAAAAAAGGAAAATGTATTCAGAAGAAAATCGAGCTTCTTATGAGGCAACACCATCGACTCTCACAGCATCTTCCTCCCCATGAATAATACCTTTGCAAGTAAATAGCAAAAATAATGTACTGTACCTGATTCTTCACACTGGTGTATCTTTTCAGATGTTTTATAAATTCTGGCCGTGAAGTGTTCCGTACAATTATAAGAGACATACTTCCATTGTTTAATCTGAAATTATACATGTGTATTTTACACCAAATTTTTCAAAAGACTGCATCAGAAATCAGTCCATATTCTTATAACAAATGTACAGGTTACTACAAGTTTGAGGCAAGACAGATAAAACATCACCACATTAGACTTACCCAAAATTCTCAAGTCATATCTTACTGTATTGTTATTTGAATAATGTAGCCTTTCAAATTAGTTTTACCGAACCATGGGTTTCCTTCTTAGCAGGCTCTTAGAGCAGAGCACTTTAAAAAATGAGCTATCATGCATCCAACTCATACATCAAGACAGGACTGAAATTCCACTGTAATTAAGAATGTAAACATTTAAAAGCCATTATATGTGGCTTTTAAAGTTGTATTATGAAACAGTTCACATGTCCAAATGGTGTAACATAAAGCTCAACATTCTCTAATATCTGAAGTGTGATTTAAATATTTATTTATGGGCAGAAGGCCTAAGTGAGATAGGAAATGGAATAAATCAAAGGGGCCCTGGGTGGATGCAATGGTGTGAACAACTGCCACCACACATGTTCAGTTAAACGGCTGAGCATTTTTATCTTGCATAACTGTTGTGTCCAATCCAAGAGACAGGAAATTCAGAGGCGTGATTTACTGCCAAGACAGCCGCTCACAAAGGCATCAGCTTCGGAAAGCGCTTTGAGGAAATGCATGCAAATGACTTCAAGCTTGAGTTCAGTGCAAACACTAAGTTATCCCAAGAGTAATGAGAGCAAAAGAGCTCCATCGGTCTCCCAGGAGCCCAGGTCAGTGCCGCAAGGTCGGCTGGAGAGTCCCTCCTCACTTGCACATTTTGTGGGGGAGTCAAAGACGAGAAAGAGGTGTGCTGAAAGGCACACCGAGGAAAACAAAATGATCACTAACAACAGACCCCTTAGCCAGGTCCAGTTCTGCTGTTCTTCAGGTCAGCTCTTCCCCGTGGGAAATAAACAGCACCAACATGTTCAGGGTAGAGTTACTGTATGTCCTTTTTTTTTTTTTTTAACTTTTCCTTTAAAATTGTTTTTTTATTTATTTGTTGCAGGGTCTTGTTATTCAGTTTAGATTCAGAGTGATTGCTGGGGTTACAGGTGTGCACCACCATGCCCGGTTTTGGGGCTGGCACAGCACATGGTACCAGGGATTGAACCCAGGTCTTTGCCCTTGCCAGGCAGGTGCTTAGACCACTGAGCTATTTTCCCAGCCCTGTACTTTATTTTTTAAATCACTTAATTTTCTAAGCATGTACAGCATTATCTATGTTTATTTTATATTATTTACTTGCAAATGAAACGTGCCCTATGAGCCTGGTACTGGTCCATATGTTTCACCTATATTAACACATTTAATCTCAGATTATTGAGCATATAAGCTATCTGTTCATATCAGACCTTTGCTCTTGTTATTTTGAAGTAAATTAAATTTTATTGTAAAACAAAATCAGAACGTATACTCTCTGGTTTGATTATTGTAAATTATACAAAACTGTATCTATGAAAATCTTTGTTCAACTGGGGCCTATTCTAAAGTCTCTTCAAAACTGGTATAGTGTGACTATTACCCACAGAGGAAATCTCTAAGCAACTGTCCTCTGAAAAACTCCTCAATACGAGGAAACCTGGCGTCAGTGGTGCAACCCCAGGCAGGCTGAACACGATGGAGCAGGTCTGAAGGAGGAACAAACCCACTACTTTTATAAGAACAGGACCCCCATGAGGGTTCTGAGTCGGGCCTAGAACTCTGTCTCAAGTCCCTCAGTCCAGGGCTCCTGGATCAGCCTCAAGCTTCAGATTTAGTGGGACCTGCCTCAGACAAGTGCACAGCTAGCAACCATTTCCAAGGAGGATGGCGGCCAGGGGAGGGGACAACCAGGCTCAGCTTTTAAATGACAAGAATTTCAAAATACCCCTCTCAATTTGCAACATTAGATGTAATTAATGATGGCCTGGCCACCTGGGTTTTTAGTAATCAAAGTTGATAGGTGCTTTTTTTTTCATCTCTAAATTTACATATTGCCCCATTTCCTGTCTTTGTATAAAGTGCCAAAGAAGAAATTTAGAAAGCAATTCTGTTTTCTAGCTGTTAATCATTTTGGTTAAATATTTTGCAGTAAAGTTCAAAGTAATTGATTAAAAAGTTATAAAGTGCCACAGGATATATGTCATTCTTTCCTCCCAGCTCCAGGGAAATCTAAAGTTGGCTGTAGGTCACACCTTTTATGATTCTTTCTTCTTGGTGGACAGGACTGGATTTTTTTTCTTTTTTGGCTGGCTCAGGCTGCCTTAAGGGTGGGTCTGGTAAGGCATGTGGAGCTGGGGATCAATCATAGAGACTGGATTTCAAGAGAAATATTTTCAGGCTCATAATGGACAGTTGCTTAAAAAGAATGAGTGAGAGAAGGAATGTCTGTACTTTGTGGATGAGACATATAAAATGCCTCATAATTTAATTTAAAAATGAGTAATGTATTCCTATGCATCACAATTCACATGAATTAGAACCAAAGTGTTTCCTTTAAAAGTACCAAATAGATACATGTATGTGTTATCTTTTTTCATGCTAAAGGTATTTGTGATTGCACTAAAATCGGAAAGCTTAGACATTCACTATATCAGAATCTGATATCCTCAAGAACTAGTAAATACATGAAGCAACCAAAGGTGGCACAAAGTCATCAAATCATTTCAACAAAACCCAAGAAATATTATTTTAGCCTTAATAGTACTAAAATTCATTGCTTATCTTTTTAAAAAGTATTAATTACAAAATAGTAATAAAAATTAGAAATGATACAGAATTTCACTAAACAAAATAATAGAATTCAACAGTATTTGTTGTATTTTGCATAGCATTGTCTTCAATTTAGTTGTTTAGATTACCAGATACGTGCATGCAAAATTGGAAAAAGAAAGAAAAAAAGACAAAGAAAAAAATTTTTGGCGTGCCATGACAGCCCTGCTCCCCGGGACTTGCCGAGATGGTCACTGAGACTGGGTGTGATGGTGCATGCCTATAATCCCAGCATTTGTGAGGCTGCAATCAGGAGGGTCACTACGAGTCTGATCTGTGTAGTAAGACCCTATAGACCCTGTACTAAACATATTTTTAAAAAAAGTTTTAAGAGATTGAGAAGACAAAAAGAGGAAAAAAATGAAAAAAGAAGACAAAAAATGTTAAGCATTAACTGTTCCTTTCCATAGATCAGCAGAAATCCCCAGTAAAATTATCCAAGCCATCTTGCATACATATGTAGTTATATCTCTTTCCCCTGCTCTCTCTCCTGTCCTCTTCTTCTCAGTAGTTCCTTCACTTTGGGCAGATTAATTCCCTTTCCACAGCACAGCGGTCCCTCACTTATTGAGAGGCTCTATTGTGGACACCCCCACGATAAGTGAAAATCAGCGAAGCAGCAACATTATATTTATTTTAGTATTTATATGCATTTTAAGACTTTATAAGCCTTCCCCACACTCTTATAAACCTTTCCCACATTTACGTAATTTTAAAAGCATACATATGCTGTATGATATTGCAAAATCCTGCGATATAGAAAAAAATCCACAATAAATAATTTAGATTAACATTTTTTGAAAACCCACAAAACAGGAAGCCCATGAAAGTTGAACTGTGAAATAGTAAGGGACTAGTGCCTCTATTGTGCCCTTCGATTTTATCTATTCTTTCAGGTTGTTGCACTAGGGAGACAATGCAGTGTTTTCACACGTGCACCTGACTTATTTCACTTAAGTGTATGGTCTCCATTACCAATAAAAGCCTCAAATTTATCATGTTTTATAGCCGAATAATACTGCATTGTGTAAAAAATACCACATCTTCTTTATCCATTCCTCAGTTGATGGCCATTTGGGTTGTTTCCAAGATTTAGCTATGACAAATTGAACCACTATAAACACGGGTGCACATATATCACTGTGGTATGACATTTTCAGTTCTTTTGGAAAAATACCAGGAGGGGAATAGCTGGCTTGAATGGGACCTCCAGTCCTAGCTTTTGGAGGAATCTCCACACTGATTTCCACAGAGGTTGTCCCAGTCTTCACTCGCACCAACATTGCAGAAGAGTTCCTTTTTCCCTACAGCCCCAAAGCATTCATTACTGGTTGACTTCTTATGGAAGCCTTTCTTTCTGTGGTGGGATGGAATCCCCATGTTGTTTTAATTTGCATTTCTGAACAAAAGTTACTGCTTATCAGTGTTTTCTAGTTGAATGATTTTTCCTTAACCTACTGTTGGCAAATCCTTTGGAAACTCTGCTAATTACACAATAAAAGACTGTCTCTTAGTTTCCAGCAATCCAAGATTTAGCTGGTTATTGTTATAAAAGAAAGCTTGGTTTATATAAAAAGAGTATGGATAATTCAATCAAAGATGCTTGCTTACCTGGTATTAGGTGCCAAGCCCCTGGGAGCCACCGCACACAGGCAAGGGATCGCCATGATGCTCACATTCAGGAACTGACCTTGGACGGTCTGCCACTGCCCATTACAGCCTAAAGGTCATGGAAGAGACTGGTTACTTGCTCGCTGCCCAGCTAAAGGCCAGGACCACCTGGCTCAGGTCTGCAGGAGATGCTTTTAGACTCACCAGATTTTGGAGATTCCTGTTCCATCCTGAGGGTAAGAAAATAGTTACAAAAATATATCACATAGACAAATCGCATCTATTAGGTGTGAGAAACTGAACATCTCATTGGCAATGCTAAGTATTTTCTTTGGTTGATTACAGACAGTAAATAAAAATAAGTGAACACTTTGCTACCAACATCATTATAATCAAAATTCATTTAAAGACAGAAAAGTGTTATATGGAACAATGATTTTCAAATTAAACAGTGAAAGCTTGATAATGCCTGTAGTCTATAGTAGACTAAAATTTCCAATGAGGGCTCAAAAATTGTGTGCTTTATTTGGTTTGGGGCTCATGCTTGTACCCAAAGTAGGTGGCATAGAGTGGGCAATGAAGCATCTGTTGGATGAATACATGAATAGGGGGCACAAAAGGTTGCTTCCGAGAACAGATCCCAAATTACATGCCTACTAGAACATGCAAGAGTCCATGACGTTATAGTCATCATCAGTAGATAAAAAAAATACCTGAAAGCCCAAAAACTTATAAATTATATATGCCAAAATGATTTATGTTTTACAAAAAGACAAAGACGATATCTACATTACATTTAGCTTTAACTTACCTTTCTCCTTCATCCTGAGAGCTGCTAAGAGGTAAAAATGATATTTCACAGTCCTCAGGCCTAAAATATAATGAAACGTGTTGTTAATGGTTATGAACCCTACGGTTCAAAATTTTTGGTATAGGAAAGATATACTTACTTAAGTCTTGCCAGTGTCTTAATCACAGCAAAGTCTCTCCGTTTGCTGGGGGACATCCATCGGTAATTCTCTGCTAAAGCCAGAGATCTTCCACCAAAGCCAAACATGGCTGAGAACCCAAAGCGAAGAAGCTTGCCAGTAGTACTAAAGGTGCAGACATCCACGGGTTGTATGTGTCCTTAAATATTACATTAAGTGCCAGTTAGTGCGTGGAGTGGGGCTACTCATCAAAACATCAACCATCATGGAGCATATGTACTTACAGAAGAAAATCTCAAGGTGCACTGAATCCTCCTGTTCTCTCTCTCTCTCCCTCTTCATTTCTCTTTGCCTTTAACTACTCTAAATGTCATTTGTGACTCTTTTGGATACCACGTGAAGAAACTAAAAACTGTAGCTTTTTACAGTTTCATATATACATGGTTAAGGAAGTGAAGTTAGACTCACATGGGGTGAACTTAGATTTACGAGTGGTTTTGTATTACATTTATTAACTGGGATAACCAATGGTTTATAGATGTACATGGGCTAAAATAGTTTTCATGTATGCTTTTTCCCTTCAATAATGTAATCCTAATCCTAGATTTTTGGTACAAACAACAATGTAGATTATAAACTCAAATAGTATGATTAGATTTTCTTGTTTCAGTTATAAAACTGTGATTTTGAATGTCAATATGATGTATTTTTCTATCCAGATCAGAGTTCCTCATGGCTCGTATGTTGTAGGCATCCCCCAAAGCTTCATGTGGTCATAGGTGGGGCTTTCTGGCTGGACCTTGGAAGGCCCAGGCTCGGTGTGGGTGGCACCACCCAAAAGGCTTGTAGCCTGAATGGAATAAAAGGGAAGGAAGTCTTGCTTGGTTGCTGCTCTCTGCTGCCTTTTGCCTGCTCTGCCATAGACTATTTCTTCTCAGCGACACCACCCTGCCTTGGAGGCAGCCAACTGTGAATTGGAACCTCTACAAACTGTGAATCAAACTAAACCTTTCCTTCTTTAACTGTGGGTGTTGGGTATTTTCTATCAGCAATGAGAACTAAGAGCGCAACTTCTTCAAATGCCCTTTACAGATCAAATATTCTGAAAAGACAGGCAGCCCAGAGACAGAATCTTAGTCTGACTTTGGGTTTTAGTCAAGTGTTTTTCAGATTTAATGGACAAAGACCTTATTATTCCTTAGATAAGTCTAATGGGAATAACATGATGGTTCTTTTGTGGGTGTATGTGGGTGCAGGCATCAAACACAAGACCTCGTACTTGTCAGGCAGGTGCTGGCCATTGAGTTATATTCCTAGTCTCTAAATGGTAGTTATGATATAAAATAAAACTTCAGTATTACATATAAATTTTCTTAGGCAAATTCTTACCCATTATAATATGCAAAGTTGCAGTTACCACGTGAGAGATTCCGTGAAGAGAATGTGCCAATACATTGGTAGATCCTGCCAAAGCAATGTAAAAACAAGCGCGATCAGTGTGCCATAGCTTTTAGATTGACATTTGCTCTAATTTTATATAAAAATTACTATGTAATGTTCAGATGAAAATGTAATGACGTTTATATCGAAAAAGTTCATAAAAACACCAGAAGCAAAATTCCTTCCACAGCATAGATGGCTCAGGACCCCTCCACTCCATCGGCCCAGGCCAGGCCCAGCTTCTGAGTGAGAACTTCCTCTGTGCTCTCAGGACCCCTCCAGACCCAGCCCAAGCACAGGCCCAGCTAGTGTGTGGGAGAGTTTCCATGCTCCCCTGGGCCCGCAGGACCTCTGTGGATCCAGCCCAAGCCCGGCTTGTGAGTGAGAACTTCCACTGCACTTTCAGGACCCCTCCAGATCCAGCCCAAGCCTGGCATACAGGCCTGGGATGAAACTGCAGCTGCAGTCCCTGCCGAGAGAGTAGGGGACAGAACCACCCAGCTAATCCAGGAGCAGAACATCTTGCCAGAGGGGCACAACAGGTTCATTCCCAAGGGCTGCAGCAGGAAAGAGCTGAGCACGGCAGCCAGACCCAAGCCAGGCACAACTGGAGATGAAATTCAAACTTTGTAGATCTGCACTCGAATTTCAGTAGGTGCTAAGGTTATAACTGCACCAAAGCTCTACACCAAAGGTCAGAGGACAGTGCTATACAGCATAGATGGATATAAAATATTTGCAGAATTATTCAACTTTTAAATGACTTAGATAATAGTAAACTGTTTGTAGTATCTACTTCATGAATATCTATTTTCTACCTTCTAAACGCTGGCTACATCAATGCCCAATCCATCAAACTAATGAAAATCTTTTAGCTTCCATATAAAAATAATCACCAACATCAGAAGAATGGTTCTGAAGAGAAGAGACACATGCATATATAAGAAAAATCTAAGTAATAACTAAAAAAAAATAGACAATCACTATAAACGCGAACAGGCATTCTCTTAATACTTTTAATGAACCTGACAGATAAATTCCAACCAATGCGGGACACCTTTCTATTATCTGACCAAAAGATGTTCTCTTATAGGAAGCACCTATATTATACTATTTGACAAGGTCTGAAAATTTATATTCGACACTTCATAATATCTTATTTTCACAATCACTGGAATAATGGAGGACCCACATAAATTTTCCTGCCAGTCTATGGAAGGGAACCACTCCCAAAACTAGGCCTCTAGAATTTTCATGTGGCAGTAAAATCTGCCATCTTCCAAACTGAAAATATAAACTATCCCCTTGCCATTTCAGAAATCTTAAAATGAACTTAAAATCGTTAAGAAAAAGAGTAAAGATTGTTATGGTTTGTGTCTAGTTGTCCCCCCAAAGCCTCATGCAGTCATGGGGTGAGGACTTCTAGAGTTTGTGTTAACTCATGATCCACTGGGATTATGTGTGATCCAAGGCTGGGATTATGGGTTTTAGTACTGCTGGGATTACCCATAGGTGGGTAAGTACTGGCAAGTACCCATAGGTGTGAGTGCTTCCCCTACCCTGGGGCAGGTAATTTACATTACAATGGAAGGTGGGAAGAGAAGCTAGCTGCTTGAGCTGCTGCTACCCCTCCCTTGTGCTCTTGCTCTTTGCCGCCACCATGAAAGGTTGCCCTCTGCTTTGTGCTGCTCTGCATTGGACCCAGCTGAGTATGGACTGAAACCTCCAGTAACTGTGAGCTAAATAAACCTTTCCTTCCTTCATTTTGAGTGTCGAGTATTTGTCCCAGCAATGAGAGAAGAGTAACTAAGACAAAGATAAAGGACAAAAAAAATCAACATACAAGAAGCAAGGGTGTTTTTATATTCTTACAATCAGCTATCTGAAAATAAAGAAAATGATCCTATTTGCAAAAAATAAAAATGCTTGGGAAGAAATTTAACCAAAAAGTGAACTAGCTATATACATTGAGCATTCTAAGACGAGAATGAAATTGAAGATGACACAAGTAAATGGAAAGACATTTCATATTCATGAATTAGAAGAATTGATACTACTATAATGTCTATATAAATTCCATGCAACCTATATCAAAACCCAAATGGCTTGTTCATACAAATAGAAAAAAGCAATTTAAAAATTCTTCAAGGCCAAAAAAGACTCCCAGTAGCCAAAGTCATCCTGAACAAGCAGAGCAAACCTGGAGTCATCGTGCTACCTGAATTTAAAATATGCCACAAAGCTGTAGTAATCAAAACAGCACAGTGCTTATATAGAAACAGAGTGGCCACAGGAACTGGATGCAAATTCCAGAAATACAAGTAAGTAGTTATGGTTGAGTTCTTCCACAAAAGTGCCAAGAAAACACAATAGGAAAAAGATAGCAGTTTGCATGGAACTAAAGTTTTGATATACACATGAAGAAGAATGCAATTAGATAACTACCTCACAACATATACAAAAATTAGCTTGAAAGATTATAATATGAAGTAGAAAACTATGGGCAGAAAACACAGGAAAAATGTTCCATGTGATGAGTCTGGGCACTGATTGAGTATCACCCCCCAAAACAGAATCAAAAGGCAAAAATAGGGACTGAAGAGATGAAATTACAGCAAATGTCTGCACAGAATGAGAGACAATGTGAAGAGCAAGAGAAAATACTTGCACACCCCACAGCTGGTAAGAGCTTAGCATGCAAAACAGAATCAAATATCACACAACAAGGATACATTATGAGAACTTTTTTAGGCAATACTGTCATGGTGTGAAAATCACAGAGTATGGCCATGCCCACTAGCTGCCAGGGTCCACTACGAATCTAGGTTCCTAAGCTATACACCTGTACATGTTAGCATATACTGAACACTGTAGGAAACTGTGACATAATAGTATGCATTTACACATATCTAAATGTAGAAAAAATACAATAAAAAGATAATAATGTGGCATACCAATGAATGAGCATGTGTACTTACCATGAACAGGGCTGAAAGGTGTTCTACAGAAGCCAGAATCATTGTGAAAACTACACTACCACCAAAGACTTTAAAAATTCGCATGTTCTCTCTGGTATGCTAAATTTATTATCAAAGAACTTTAAAAAACTAATGTTAAAGGCTGGGGAGATAGCTCAGTAGAATAAGCCTGGTGAGCACAAGGGCCTAAATTCAATCCCCAGTTCTGCCAAAAAAAATAAATAAAAACTAACGTTAGCTTACTATAACTTTTTACTTTATTATTCTTTTTATTTTTTTATGTATTTGGTACAGGGTCTCACTACGCGGCTTGGGACTCATAGTGGTCCTCCTGTGTTAAGCCTCCCCAGCACTGGGATTCCAGGCGTGCACTATTACGCCCAGACTCAGTCGCTGGCTCAATACAACCAGGGGTGGGGCTGGTGCGGCAGGTGGGACCAGGGACTGAACCACAGTCCCTGTGCTTAAGCAGGCACTTAATCCCCTGAACTATCTCGCAGGTCCTAACTTTTACTTTAGAAACTTAGAAAAATTTTAAAACATCTTGACTTTTCTGGAATAATCCAGAACTAAAACATAATATACAGTTGTACAAAAATGTTTTCTTCATTCTATGAGCTTTATTCTATTTTTCAATTCTTTAATTTTTTAATCTTTTTTGTTGAAAGTATACACACAGACACACATACACACACACATACACCCCAACTAGACAACCTAGGCTACAAAAGGTGAGGATCATTAATAACACTGTCTCCTCCACGTCTCATCCCATGAAGGGCATTCTGTTATGATTTGTGTCTGGTTGTCCCCGGAAAACCTCATGCAGTCATTGCAATGGCTTCTAGAGTGTGTGATTGATTAATTCGCAATCCACTGCTGGGATTATGGTGTGAGTGCTACATTCACCCTGGCATGGATAATCTGCATACAAAGGTAAGGAAGGGAAAGGGGTTAGTTAGCCATGGCAACTGCAGCCCCTCCCTTTGCTCTTTGCTACCATGAATGGCTGCCCTCTGCCATGTGCCACTCTGCCTGAGAGCCAGCCAAATATGGACTGAAACCTCCACTAACTGTGAGCTAAATAAACCTTTCCTTCCTTAATTTTGGGTGTCGAGTATTTTGTCCCTGCAACAAGAGAAAACTAAGCCACCTTCCTAGGAGCAGTCCTCTCCTGTGACAACAATGCCTCCCTATGGGTCTCCCCTGAAGGACCTGTCTGGGGTTCTTGCTTTGTTATTTTTTAGCACATAGCTGAGCACATAAGGATTACATTCACTGTGGGGAGCTGGAATATGCACGTAATGCATTTGCATCTTTTTACTTCCTTTTTCTCTCCCTTCCTTCCTGCTTCTCCACTTCCTGTTCCCTTTTCATGTGCACATCAATCTCCCCAGTTGCTTGTTCTTTGGGGTTCTCATGTTTGAGAAGCCATGCAATATGTAAGCCTGTTCATTTATTTCACGTAACCAGGCTCTTCTGGAGCAGATGTCCCTCTTCAGAGATAAGCCCATAGTGCTTTGCTTGGTTTCTTTTTCTCATCATAGGTTTGCTCATAAGCAGATAACACACCGGGAAAGTTCCTCTTGATCAGTGAAAACCTTTCTGCTTTGGTTTCGTGTTTTCAAACTTTTTAAGAAGCTTACTGAGATTTGCAAAAGCTTCTACTAATACTTTCACATGAATTTCCTGTATTTTCCTCTGCAGTTCCCTATCTCCTGGCCCTTCACTATATGATAGGAATTGTTCAGCCCCATTGCACTCTCACCACACCACTGGGTCAGTGAGGGATGCTACTTGTCAAAATGTGATCATGCAATGCACTGAGCATACACAGGGAACCGAAACAACTCAATAGCAAAACAGGAACAAAGATAACAAACAGCAAAATAATAACAAATAGTAATAATTAAAAAAAAAACTCTTTTTAAAATATACAGAGAGTGAGAATAGTGATTTCTCCAAAGAAGAGCTTCAAATGGACAAGTGTTACATAAAAATATTCAATATTATGAATCAGAGAACTTGTCACATGAAACCACAATG